GGGCGGTTCGGTTGCAGGAGCCGCCGGTTCACGGTTACCAGTTCGGTTCGGACTCTTCTTGCTGTTAGCATTTCGGCTTGGCGCTAGCGCCACCTGCTTCCGGCACCCGCACACTTCGCAGATCCACTCTGGAATATTTGCGGATGGTGGCCTTCCGCAGCGCCCTCCTCGCGCTGCTGATGCTGCCGGTCGCGCTCTCGCAGATCACCTCGAAGATGTGTGCGGACAATTGCTTCACCGTGGCGTGCGCGCCGTCCGACTTTCCCTGCATCATGAGCTGCGTGGGGAACTGCCCCCACGGGGCTGCCACGGGAAACCGCGAGGCGGGGAAGGTCAGCATCCGCGGCGCGAGGTGAGCCCGAGGGACGCCGCGCTGCATTGGCTGCCCTCAGGTCTCCGCATGCTCCTCCCCCCTCGCCCAGCCACTTCTCCCTCCTCCCTCTTCCCTCCTCCCTGCTGCTGCTCCTCCTCTTCTTCCCCAGCTCCTCCCCGCCACCTGGCTCGTTGTTCCTTGCCCTCCTCCCATTGGCCCCCTCCTGCATTCTCCTACACACCCTCTCGCTCCCTGTGCTCCTCTTTCCCTCCCTCCTGGCCCTCCTCCCCATCTTGCCCCCCCCACTCCTCTTCCTCCCTCTCCTCCTCCTCCTCCTTCTCCTCCTCCTCCTCCTCCTCCTCCTCCTCCTCCTCGCCCTTCACTTCCTTATCGTCCAGATCTCCCATTTGGAGCCTCAGCCTACGATTCCTCCTTTCCCACCTCCCCCCGCCCATCCCCCCCTCCCCAGTTTAGGCCTGCATCTGCTGCGCCGTAGGCAGTCGACGATTCTCCTGCCGCTTGCTGGATCACATTAGGATTGCTGCTTTCGCTTCGCGGAGTGCACATCCGGACAAGCGATCCGACCGCTCTTCCCCGTCTTCCTTCTCGGCCTTTCTCATTATTTGTCTTCTTCCTCCTTCCTTATCCCCCTCACCATCCTCTCTCTTTCCCTCTTGTGCGCGTGTTTGTTTCCTCCCCAGGGTAACGAACGCTCCCCAAACCAACCCCCTCCCCCGTATTAACGCTAACGATCACATCGAGGGGGTTGGCCGGGAGTCCTCCCTACATGCCGTGGCACACAGGCGGTTGATGCGCCCGTGGCGCGGATGCACCCTGGCGGGTGCACGCCGCGGCCGCCGTTACCGTTACGTTCCCGCCCGACCCCCCCCCAGGCAACGACCGTTCCCGGGGAAAGAACCAAACAACGGGCACCTCCTCGTCCTTGTGCTTCCCAGCTTCCCCTCCCCCCCTCTTTCCCCATCCTCTCCTCCTGCTCTTTCCCCTTCTGTCTACGTATGGTGCGTTTAGGGCTGCGCGTGTGATCCCCCGTGGGATTATCTTGAGGCATGTGTGGCCATCTTGCGCGTTTGCTTTTTTGGGGTGCCCTGGGCTCGTCTGGGAGCCGGAGGAGGAGAGAGGAGGCGGATACGGGGAGGAGGAGAAGGAGGAGGGAGATGTGGAAATGGGGAGTGTAAGGAGAAGATGGAGGTAGAGAAGGAGGTTAATCTGGCATCTTCCAGGGCTCAAGCGAGCTGCTTGGTGTCCTCGTGGGGCCTTCTCGGGCCCACATTTCGGCTGCCTGGGTTTCGTTGGTCATGTGCCGTTCGGTTTCCTCAGGGGTCGCGCGATTCGGCCCCACACGTTCCAGATCACAAGGACGCTGGCTAGCCTTCGCACGTTGTGCCTTTCAGCCGCGCTCTCAGCCCGCAGGATCCGGCGGGTCGGCCGATGTCATCTTGACCACCAGGTTGCGCCATCACAACCAGTAGAGCCGTCTCGCTCTGCGTAGGAGGCGCCGTTGCACTGGACGCATCTTCGCTTGCATCTGCCGCCGCACGCAGATGGCAGCCAATCGCGCCTGGTGCATTCGGTGTCTTCCTGATTTCTGTGCACGTGCCTGGCATTCTGAGTAACTGATGTCACGCTCCCTGCTGTTGCGTCGGATGTTCGAGCATACCTGGATGTATAGCTTTCTGCTTTGGGCTGATGATGGAGCGCTCTACTCAGAGGTCGGAGGAGGGACGGATGAAAGACTCTGGGATAACCGAGGTAGCCGGGGACACGGGCATGGGCACTAAATCACCATCGCGAGAACTTCGGACAGGAAGACCTGCCAGGGCACCACCAGCTCTGAGACGTGCTCTCTGACGTGCCGCTGTCGAAGAATGAATAATGGAGAATCGGCTTGAGCATAAACTGCCGGAGTTCCTCGCAAATTTCTCGGATCGGAGCTGGGCCCCCCTTGCGGCGCCTCTGGTCTGGTGCCGCCCTTGGCGCTCACCTCACGCCAGGGAGGAGTGTCCAGTGCATACCCAAGAAACCCGCTCGGACCTCAGAATCAGAAACATTGTGCTTACACTGTTTTTCTTCTCCTGTGCTGGCTCCTCGGGGCCGGGTGTACAACGGGGACGCGTACGGACGGAGCGTGACGATGTGAGGCAGCGCAGGCACTCCTCGTTGAGCAGCGCGCGGCGGACATTGCACGCACAGACAACTGGCTGCACAGCTCGGCTCCATGAGCGACCATTTCCTTGTTTGCCCTTCTCCTCCTCCTCCTTCTCCTCCTCCTTCTCCTCCTCCTCTCCTCCTCCTCCTCCTCCTCCTCCTCCTCCTCCTTCTCCTCCTCCTCCTCCTCCTCCTCCTCCTCCTCCTCCTCCTCCCCTCTTGGCTTTCGGCAGCAAGGAACACACCTGGGAGGACGCATGGGCAAAGGAGACAAGCCTGAATCAGGAGGACACGCGGCAGGAACCGCATTGCAACCAACCAGTGCTAGAACCGACCTGCTGAGACCGGATGACACACTGGTCGTGTCAAGCTCAGGGGCCATTGCTTATTGAGTACATCGTGCTGCATGGCAAGATGCGAACTTTGTGGGAACAGGCAGGGGCAACCACTACATGCATGCTGGTCTAAAGTTGTTGGCCTCAAGCTGCGGGGCTCGCCGATGCCTTTGCCAGCGTGCGTAGGAGAAAGCGCGCGCACGCGTTCTCCCGGATACCTCCTCCTCCTCCTCCTCATCCTCCTCCTCCTCCTCCTCCTCCTCCTCCTCCCTCCTCCCTCTTCCAGCTCGGAAAGAAAACACTTCTTTCGGGGCATCTCATAAGTGCTCGCGTCCTGAACATAAGAAACATACGACGGATGACTTTCGGCCGTCTTGGGCCTCTAGGGGCCCTCGCTCGGGGCCGGAGCTGTGAGAACGGACTCGCGTCGCGAAACCGAAAGTAGAAAGCCTTCTCAGAAGGCGGCGGGACTCCTCAGAAGCCCTGGCGCCGTCTGAGCAGGTCTCTGTGCCTTCGGGGAAGGCTAAGAAAGGTTCTCAGAAGACCAGGGCACTTCCAAGCCTTCTGAGAAGGCCCGACCCTTCCCGGACGCCTGGTGGTTTTTCGGTCATAACTCGGGTCTCCAGTGGCCGTTTGGGACGGTCCGGGCACCACTGGTACGTCCTCGGCGAGGCGCAGCCGCTGGCAAGCATCCCGAGGCGGGAAACGTGCCGAGCACCGACGACGACGCCCGAAAACCTCGAACCTCGAGCCCGAAACCTCGCCGCCGCCGCCGCCGAGAATCCCGGTATGGGTCGAAATCGGCGCCGGGGCCCCTCATCCTGGCGTGTGGCGCGGGTTTGATCAAGCCGCGGCAATGAGGAGCCTCCGCAGGACGCACGGACAGGGCGGAAGGCGCCAGGCCGCCGAAGAGGGCTGGCTCGGGTCTCGACGTTGGCCTTCTGCCGAAACGACGATGACGAGGAGAAGGAGGAGGAGGGAGGAGGAGGAGGAGAAAGGAGGATGAGAAGAAGCTGGAGGGCAAAGGAGGAGGACGCAGGAGAAGGAACGCTGATGCTGATGATGATGATGATGATGATGATGATGATGATGATGATGATGATGATGCTGCTGCTGAGGATGATGATGATGATGACGATGATGCTGATGCTGCTGATGATGATGGCGATTATGATGATGCTGATGAGGATGGTGCTGCTGTTGATGATGATAATGTTGATGATGATAATGAGGATGATGTGGATGATGTTGATTGTATTGGTGATGATGATGATGGTGATGCTGATGATGATGCTGATGCTGATGCTGATGCTGATGATGATGACGATGATGATGATGATGATGCTGATGATGATGATGATGATGATGTTGATGATGATGATGATGATGATGATGCTGATGATGATGATGATGATGATGATGATGAAGAGAGAGAGAGAGAGAGAGAGAGAGAGGAGGATGAGGAGGAGGAGGAGGAGGAAGCATGACACCTCATGATGATGGTAGTGGTGATGATGATGTTGATGATGATGATGCTGATGATGATTAGGAGGAGGAGAAGAAAAGAGGCGGAGCGGGACGATGAGGAAATATGATGATGATGCTGATGATGATGATGAAGAGGAGGAGGACGAGGATGAGGATGAGGATGAGGATGATGATGATCATGATGATGCTGCTGCTGCTGATGATGATGATGATGATGGTGATGGTGATGCTAATGGTGATGGTGATGATGGTGATGATGATGATGATGATGAGGAGGAGGAGGAGGAGAAGGAGGAGGAGGATGAGAAGGAGGAGGAGCATTAGGAGGAGGAGGAGGAGGAAGTAAGAAGGATGAGGAGGAAGAGGGCGAATGAGGAGGAGGAGAAGGAGGAGGAGCAGGAGTAGAAAGAGGAAGCAGGACGGAGGAGGAGGAGGAGGAGGAGGAGGAGGAGGAGGAGGAGGAAGGAGGGGGGAGGATGAGGGAGGTTTTTTCCCTCGGAGGCCCTCGAGGCAGAACAAAGAAAAACCTGCCTAACCCGATCGACGGGAGGCAGCTGCAGCTTCTTCCCGCGCACGAACGCGGGCCGCCAAAGCCTCCATGCCAGGGGTTGACACGAGGCGCAAGCGGGAGGCCGTCTGTCTACCACCTTGTGCGGCCGCGACCTCCAGAACAAAATCGGCGGAGCGACGGCAAGGGTCCGTGACACGATTATCATTGTAAAAGTGAGGGTGGAGCCCCTGCTTGATACGGGAGAGGGTCTGGGATCTCGTGCCCAGCTTCCCACAGCACCGCGTCGCCAGCAAAACACACCTCTTCGAAGAGTAGGCCCCACACCTGTAGCAAAACACTAAAGGCTCCTGGGCTTCATTGTCAATCATCGAGCAAGCTAGGAGGTGCCCCCGTTCCTCGGCATCCTTCAGATTCCGAAAGGCAGTGGGGACCCCTTTGCACCCTACCATCGATCTATCCTGATCCCAGGTGATCGAGAAACACTTGGTGCACCTCCAGGCTACCCCCGAGTCGATCTCGCACCAGTCGTGCCAACTCGGATCTCTGACAGCCGCCGCAGTCCGAAGGCCTCTGGCAGAGCGACGAAACTCCATCTTGGGGTAGCAGGAAAGCACCGCATCAAACATTCGAACTAAATCTTTCACACGCTTCACGCACACATCAAGAGCCTCGAGGTCTTCTGTCGGAGCCCCTGGGTGAAGTGTCAGTGCGTGCTTGGCTAACCTATCAGCATCAGCATTTCCCAGTGCAATGCGACGCTCCAAAATCGGTAAGGCCAACATCACCTCCTCAGACCTGTGGGCAGGGGTGTAGGAGGCAGGTCCCAGACAGCCCTGAGGGTCGTGTTCCATGGCAAGCCTCCTAAGGCCCGCAAACATCTGCTTTGGGCACAGCTGTTCCCGACGACTAGCATTGTGCAGATTGACGGCACCAGAGCAGTCACTGTGAGGTGTGGCAGGGTAATCTATGACACAGCTGAGCGTGGCCATGCCAAGATGCTCCGCCGACTGCGGGGTCTGGAAAAAGGTGGGCCATACTGTGCCCATCATCCGTGCCTGAATCTTGTATTCGGGGCCAGGTGCTAGGAACACAGCCCCGAACGCCGCGCGCTGGAGCTCCTTAAACACCTGCTGAGTTGCTGAGCCGTCAACCACGGGCTCACACCCACGGGTCAGCTCAAGAAACTCTTCAAAACTGATTTCCTGGCCCTCGGAATCCTGAAAGATCGGGTCGAGGTTCCAGGACGGTCCAGGGACCACAGGCTGAGGCACAATGAGCCTCGTCCAAAACAAAAGCTCCTGGGGCTCGGCAGCTTTCACCTGATCAATCAACTCCTGACTGACATACTCGAGCCTCTGTTCAGCCACGCTCGGACAGAGCCATTGCCGATGGAACAGGGAGTCGGGTTCCCCACACAAAGGACAGCCCCCCCGTGGTCATACCCGCACGCTCTCAACCGATCTCCCGTCCAACAGGCACCTGAAAACACAGCCGAAAGCCAATATTTTTGTCTGGCCGTGGTCTTGCGTGAGCGAAACAACTTAGCGACAGGGTCTGGGCAGACTCTGACATCATTGAAATCATCTAAGTCGGTGGCCATCTTGCGCTCAAGGGCTCTCTGCACGCCAGCCTCGAGCTGCTTGGCCACTAACGCTGGGGAGGTGTACATTAAATCAACCACGCGATCACGGTCATCTCTCCACAGCGCAAAATTATCTGCACGCCACCCGATACGATGGAGGGAGAGGAGCATTCTGTGCACTGGACCTTTAGACTTACGCCAGACAGTGGGGCCTAACTCAGGAGAGGAACTCGATATTGTACGCCATATCCGAATGTGATCCCGAAAAGAGAAGTGGCACACCGTGGGCTCCGTGAGGCTCTGCCAGAGGCTGTTCGACCACTGAAGTGCTGGGGCGACCGCCTGACGCCACGCAGGGTCTCCATGAAGCACACACTTCGCTGTCAAGCTTGCTCCCCGATGGGCAGGAGACTTGCCTGACATAAGCACTGAACGTAAAGAGGCCAACTCATGATCAGAAACTCCTAGGACCATGCTGCCGAAACCTGCTGCTGGCCGTACTCCTGCAACATATATCTTGTTAATACGCGTACGGTCCCTGGGAAGCTTCTTCTTATAGTGCTGGAGGAGTCGGCTACGAATTCGCATATCGTGAAACCGTTGCCGCCGCCGAGCTCTAGCCTTCTTAGCCGATAACCCCTGACCAGGTGCTAGGTCAACGCCCAGCGACACCGTGGAGTTCGTGGCCGAAGAAGGGCATATTGGCTGAAGTCGCCTGCGCAGCTTGGAAGCTATCCTGCTGGACGACGAAAAAGATACCGCTTTGTCTTCAGCTAGCCGCACACCTAAACGTGTCTGAAAAACCCACTTCAAATCTTTCGCAGCCTTGACCAAATCGTGCATAATAACACTTTCGGGACCATGGGCCGAAACCGTGTCGTCGTCGACGTACGATCCCAGACTAACCCCAGGATTTCGGCTAGACCAGAGATCAAACTCGAACATCGCGTAAACCTTCACGAAAACATCATTGAAAATGTCCCCTGCTGGTAAACCGTTTTGCGCAAACTGAATAAGCGGGCAATGATGAGCTCCCAGACGGAGTACTCTCGGGGACCTCCAGAGGTTGTACAGGACTTTTATGAGAACCATTGGTATACGCCAGTACATGGCCCGATCCCTCAGCCACAGGAGCCGAAAAGACTCGTAGTACTTCATACCGTCCCAAATGAAACCTGCCGTGTAATCGCCCTTTTCGGAGGTCTCCTCGGCTCTCACACTTTGTTGCCATATCGATACCTCTGCAGACTGCCCCGCACCAAAAGACCAGTAAGGCCGTTGGGCCCGATCCAGGAAAGAATCAGCCTGAGGTCTCCGAAGTCGCTCCCAAACTCGAACAAACGATCCCAGAAGAAGAATCGGCCTGAGACCTCCTTTGGGCTTCTCCAGTAAAGGCAGCAGCATCCACAGTAGCTGCGCGGGGAAAAGGCCCAGCCGCTCCACGGCCTCGTAGAGCACGGCCAGGCACGTGAGGCCCTCGTCGGAGAGGGCACCGACATGCCGCGGGTGAAATCCATCTAAGCTCTGGGCGGTGTGGCGGCTGAAGCTCAGAGACGCTTTCCGAAGTTCATCAACGCTGGCCCGAGGGAAACATTGACGATCAGGAATCCAGGCTTCAGGTGGCTTCAAATCCGCTCCCCAGAATCTTCCCAAAGTTTGAGCTTCATCCTCCAGAAGGGCATGTGGATCCGCAGTAAACACTCCAGGAGCACTCTGGATAACTGTCGGCTGCCAAACCTTTTTCAGCTTCGTAAAACGATGCATTATCCGAGCTGAGCCAGCGAGGGCCCGTTCCTGCCAGAGGTCCCACGACTCCCGCTGTATACGATCCCCATCCACCCCAGCTTGCTCATAATCATCACGAACATCCTCTAACAGCTGCTGAGCTAGCTCAAGCCACTCCTGCCGATGGAAGCTGCTGTGGTGTTGCCAGCTCCTCGCCAGAGTGCGCATGGCACGGAGGGAGGCATCCAGGCGCACAGACAGGCCTTCGCCAGGGCAGGAGTCCTGGAGCGATACCTGAAGCTGGATGCAACACTGGACGGTGTCCTCAGTCGCATCTTGCACCGTCAGAATAAATTCTTGAAAAGACTGGTACAGCCACCTCCAACCAGCAGCGATCTGGAGCTTATCCTCAGGATCCTTCGGGCGATAGAACACTGAAACCCAAGACGATTTGATCGTTCGCGAACGCTCGCCCAACTCCTTCGGCTCGAAACCTAAAGTGCGGGTAAGCTCCAGCTCGGCGACGTCCACAAACTGCGCCCATGCATTATTCAAAACTCTCCAGGCCACCGTGGCCTTCTCGTGCATGGCCCAAGCCGCTGCCTGCGCAGCGTGAGCAAGAGCGCCTTGCCACGCTGGTGGTTGAGGCCGCGGTCCAAAAGGCACATCAACAGGTAGGCGCTGATAGCTACGGTACACTAGCTGCCTGAGGGAAAGAGCATCTGCACGAACCTTGAGTTGGACAGGTCTGTGGGGCTTGACATCCCAAGACATGACCGCTGCAACTCCAGAGATCAATCTAGACAAACCGGGGCCCATGACGAAGAAATCTATAATTGTGTTCGTAGACGGAGTACGACACGTGTGCTCAATCGGCGCCAAAACCAACATCCCCAGCTTGCGTGGAACTCCAGAGGCCTCCAGAACCTGTGGGGTGAGATTCCAGTCCCCCGCCAGGATCGTATGAGTTGGGTCATTCACCTGCTTACCTATCTTCGCGATCATCTGTACGTTGGCCTCGCTGAGGCCCTCCGATGTCTTCAAATAGACCGAGAAAACCGTCACCGTGGGCCACCCAGGGAAGTCCGCCAGAACCTTGATAGCTCGTCCAGGAACAACTGGGCCAGGACCTTCTGGAGGCCATCGTAAACCAATGCTGAGCCGAGCGAAGACGGCGACACCGCACGAGACCTTGCCTGTCTCTGGGTTCAGGAACGAGGGGCCGAACAGGGCGTGGAAACCGAGCGAGCGTGCCGAGGCCGTAGCTTGTCCCAAGAAGGAAACACTGATGCCTATCTCCTGGGCGCACACAATCACCGCCGAAGTCTCTCGTAACCTTCGCCGAAGTGTCTTCCAACAAGAACCGTTGAACGTCTCAATAAAAAACGGGTCCCCTCTGGCTACCTTGGGGCCTCCACGCAGAGGTGGCACAGGTACTCCAGTGGAGGACAGCGGAATGCCTGACAAGAGGGGCGCACGGCAGCAGTGAAGGGCATCACCCGCACCGCTGCTTCTTCGCCCTGATACCGAACTGCTTGAGTAGGTCCGCGACCTCCTTCTCGTGGTCGGGGCCCTCCTTCCGCGCCGCGGCGATGACCTGCTGCACCTTCTCATCGGAGAGCTCCTCCATGTCCACGTCGTCATCACCAGCACTGACCTCGGCCGCTTCGGGGGCGGCTCCTGGCACTGCACCATGTTCACCACCAGGAACCCGAGGAGCGGCCTGCTGCTGGTCACGCGCCGCTGCCGCCTTGGCCGCGTAGAGCTGCCTGAACTTGGCGAACTCGGGCGAGGCCAGCATCGTCTTGACCCCTTCCGCCTCAGGGCCCTCGAGCACGCTCGGGTCAAGCTCCAGGTCGACCTCAACCTGCTGCTCGGGGGCCGAGGGCGCCACCTGCTGCATCGCCGCCTGCAACTCGATCTTGAGTGCGTCGATGTCCACGCGCAGGCTGCGCTGTCGGTCGTTGAGCTCCGCCAACGCCCGCTGCGCCTGCTCCACAACCTTATTCTGCTCCGCAATTGACTTGTCGAGAGCCTCGAACTTCTTCTGCTTGTCCGCCAGCTTGTGGCCCAACGTGGTAGCACGGGACAACACTGGCTTCTTGGACTGCACCTCCGCTCGCGCCGCCTTGAGCTCACCCTCCACGGTCTCAATGGCAGACGCTGGTACTCCGTCGCACTTGCGAAGAGCCTGCAATGACTCCTCCAAGTGCTGCACTCTAACACGTAGCTTGTCATCATCCGAAGTCGGTGCGGCTTGAGATTCGGCGCCACCGCCTCCAGCCTGGGCCGAGCCTCCGCCTCCACCTCCGTTGGCCGCGACACCCGCAGGAGGGGACGACTTGGCGTCGACCTTCTCCATGATGCGCTTCTCCATGGCTGCCAGCTGGCCTGACAGATCGGCTGGGGGGCCCTTGGCCCACGCACCGCGAGGGCCGCGAGGCTGCCCAGGAGGTACGCCAGGAGGAGCACGAGCCGATGAGCCCAGAGCGGCAGCTGCGGTGCGCGCGCGCTCCACACTTGCCCTCGGGGCTGACTGTCCACAGAGGCACCGTATCCGACAAGCGAAATTCTGGTTCCTGCCACAACTTGGACACCCCCAGAAGGGCGATCGGGGCCCTGGGAGTACATCCGCCTCATCACGTCGAGCCATGCACAGCACAGCTTGTCTCAGGAAGGCTTGCTCCAACAGGAGCTCACAAAAGAGATTCCGAGCCACAAAGACCCGCAGGAGCGGCTGCCGCTCTGAAGACAGCTCCTGCAAGCCCAAAAACTTGGGCCAGAACGGCTGAGGATGAGGGAGGAATGAGGCAGGAGGAGGAGGAGGAGGAGGAGGAGGAGGAGGAGGAGGAGGAGGCAGGAGGAGGAGTAAGGAGGAGAAGGGAGGGAGGAGGAGACTTGCCTGCCCCGTGTCACCAGGGGGCGGACCTTCGCGGCGGGGGCAGGGAGGAGGTCTTCCTCGGCGCCGCCCCCCTGCGCCAGGCCAACCTCAGCCAACCACGGCCGGCCCGTGCTCAAGAAGGACGGCAAGTCCAAGGCCGGCGGCGAGATTATTCGAGCAGTGGCGAAGCGTCCTGGCCCGCCTGTAGCCCTAGCAAACGATGTTCTAAGAGCCTTTTGCGGTTCCCACGGAATGTTCTTAGAACATTGCTGGCGGGGACTGTCTTGCTCTTATCACACCGGGCTTATGTTCTGAGAACATTGTTTTTGTTCTTAGAACATTCTTGGGTTCTAAGAACATTTCATGGTAGGACTATAGGAATGCTCGGACGGCCGGTCCCTGCACAAAGATTCGAATCCCTACGCTGCTCGGAGGCGAGCGAGGGGGAAGTCTCGGGCTCGAGCGGGCAGCTGCGGAGGCTCCTCCTCGCCGCGCCCGGCTGCATCTGCCCCGCGTGAAGCACGCCAGGAGGAGGGGCTCCAGCACCGAATTTTCGGCCCCTGCCGGGATTCTCGGCGGCGGCGGCGAGGTTTCGGGCTCGAGGCCCTCACCGAGCGCGTTCCACTACTCGCACAGTGCCTACTACTCGCCAACGTTCCCAAAAGCACCTGTCCGCTCGGTTGTAACGTCTCGTAGACCCCCCGCAGGGGGATCCCGGCCACTTGCAAGCAGTGACTTTGCGAGTAGTGGAGCGCGCTCGTCTAATCGAGGTTCTCGGACATTCCGTCGACTCTCGGCAGTCTTCCAGCCGCGGGGTGCTCGCTAGCAGCCGCGCCTCGCCGAGGGCGCTCCGGTGGTGTGGTGCCTGGATTAGGGGAACAACAATTGACATAAACATAAAAACTCGGCGGTCCGCGCGGATTTCTCGGATCGGCGCGGGGGCCCCCCTTTGCGGCGCCTCCGGCGCCGCCCCCGGCGCGCTCCGCGCAACAGGGAGGGGGGCCCAGCGCCGATCCGAGAAATCCGCGCGGACCTCCGAGATTTTATGCTTATGTCACCTTTTGTTCCCCCATGGTCGGGAGGGGAAAAAACACACAGACACAATTAATCGTCGCTCCCCAAGAAAATATGGGAAAATATGGGAATTGGGGGGGAAGGCAAAAACCCAGAAAATATGGGAAAATATGGGGGATATTGTTATTTGTGTGTGTATTTATTTGTGTGTCCCAGTTCCCCTTCAATTTTTTGTTCCCCCATGGATGGTCCCGAGCGGCCGCCCGAGGCCCGAGGCTCGGGCCAACAAGGCCAGGGCTCGGCGGCGCGCCCCCGGGGAGGGGGGGGGGGGGAAGGGGAGCAGTGCCAGAGGCCCTCCTCTCGAGGAGGGGCAGAAGTCAGGAGGGGAAAACACACACACAGACACCATTCCTCGTCGACCCCCCCAGGAAAATGTGGGAAAACATGGGGAGTGGGGGGGGAAGACAAGAACTTAGAAAATGTAGGAAACTATGGGGAATCCGGTTAAGTTTGTGTATTTATTTGTGTGTGTCCCAGGGCCTCTTCACAAAAGGCACATAAAGATAATTTTTTGGCGCTCCGCGCTTGGGCCCCCCTGGCGGCGCCTCCGGCACCGGACCTGGCGCGCTCCGCGCGCCAGGGAGGGGGGCCCCCGGCGCGGATCTGAGAAATCCGCGCGGAGCGCCAACAGTTTATGTGTATAACGTTTTTGTTTCTTTCACTCTCAGAAGTCGGCTGGGCTTCTCATGAAGCCGTGGGCCTCTTGAGAAGTGTTCTGCGTCAGCGGGGAATGCTTAGAAAACTTCTCAGAAGGCTGGGGAACTTCCGAGCCTTCTGAGAAGGCCCGCCACTTCTCACTTCCCCACGGGCGCACCGCCCAACGCTGCCTTATTCGACATACAAAATTCTGAAGGTGGTGACGACTTTTTGCCAATCGACCTGTGGGGATCGAGGCGAGTAAGCGAAGGTAAATGAAGAGCACTCTAGGCGGATCCCGGTCAATCAATGCAAGTCTAGCTAGATCCAGAGCTCTCCAAGGAAATGTTGAGCAACCGCTCCAGCGCGCGTTGAGGGACGGCAGCAGTCATCAAGCCCTTCACGATAAAATGCAGCATAGACATACATGTTCGACGAGTTGCGCGGATTTCTCGGATCTGCGCTTGGCCCCCTTTGCGGCGACTCCGGCGCCGCCCCCGGCGCGCCCCGCGCGCCAGGTAAGGGCTGTCAGCGCAGAGCCAAACATTTCTTGCCGACATGCGAAAGCTTACATTTATGCAGTTTGTTGTTCCACGTTGTTCTTTTAATCAGAGTGAGGGGGCCGAACGCTCGTTCTTTGTTCCCTGGTGCGTGGCTGAAGTGGGGATCCGCGGGGAGGATTCTGCTTGTTGTTGCCGTTGTTGTCGTCCCCACCCCGACCCGCCCGCGACCAACCCGCGACGCACTCCGCGACGCACCCCGCGACCCACACCGCGACCCACCCGCGACCCACCCTGCGACCCACTCCGCGATCCAAGCCGCGACCCACCCCGTGACCCGCCCGTGACCCACCCGCGACCCACCCCGCGACCCACCCCGTGACCCACCCGCGACCCACCCCGCGACCCACACCGCGACCCACCCCACGACCCACCCCGCGACCCACCCGCGACCCACCCGCGACACACCCCACGACCCACCCCGCGACCCACCCGCGACCCACCCCGCGACCCACCCGCGATCCACCCCGCGACCCACCCGTGACCCCCGTGACCCACCCGCGACCTACACCCACCACCCGCGACCCACCCCGCGACCCACCCACTGACCCACCCCGCGACCCACCCGCGACACACCCCGCGACCCACCCCGCGACCCACCCGCGATCCATACGCGACCCACCCGCGATCCACCCGCGACCTGGCCCGCGGCCCACCCGCGACCCACCCCGCGATCCACCCACATTGCTTTAACGAAGAAATCGGCGCCTGCGGCGGGCTCACTGCATAATTTGTAGTAAAAGTTCGACGCCTGCGGCGGGCTTCTTCAGAGCCTCGCAGACTGACGACGTCCTCGCCGCCCACTCACTCCTATCCGCAACTGCGAGGTGCTACGTATTTTCAAGAATCATCAAATATCTTTCAAAAATAGTTAAGAAATAGTCTGCATATGATTTGTCAAGTCAGAGTGAGGGAGCAGAACGCTCATTATTTGTTCCCGGGTGCGTTGCTGAAGTGGCGATCCGCGGGAGGGTTCTGCTGGTTGATTGTTAATTACTAAACAATTATTATTGTTGGACACCTTAAAGGCGCTCTGGCGCTCTCGCCGAGGCGCCGGCTACATCTTCATTGAAAATGAGGCTCACGCTCGAGCGGTTTGGGGGACCGCCAAAACCGCCCCCCCAACGACAACAACGCTCCCGCTCGAGATTTCCTCCTTTTTACTCAGGGCTGGTGTTCTTGCTCGCCGACGACAGCCGCCGTCCTAACAAAACCAGCGCGCTCCCGCTCGAGACTTCCTCCCGTTTTACCTTGGACTGGCGCGTCAGTCTTTCTCTCATCGGCGCCTTTCCCAGCAAGAACAACGCTCCCGCTCGAGATTTCCTTTCTTTTTCCTCGGGACGGTGCTGTTCCTCGCCGCCGACAACCCCCGTCCCGACAAAACCACTGCTCCCGCTTGATGGTTCCTCCCTTCTTACTCAAGGCGGTGTTCCTCCTCGCCGCCGAAAACCCGCTCCCCGACAAAACCAGCGCTCCCGCCCGAGACTTCCTTCCGTTTTACGCTGGACTGGCGCCCAACTCTCTTTTGAATTGGCGCCCTTCCCAGCAAGCACAACGCTCCCGCTCGAGATGTCCTTTTTTTTTCCTTGGGACGGTGCTGTTCCTCGCCGCCGAGAGCCCCCGTCCCGACAAAACCACGGCTCGCGCTTGATGCTTCCTCCTTTCTTACTCAAGGCGGTGTTCCTCCTCGCCGCCGAACGCCGCCGTCCCAACAAAACCAGCCTTTCCGCTTGAGACTCCGTTTTGTTTTGCGCTGGACTAGCGCCCTACTCTCTTCAGCATAGGCGCCGTTCCCAACAACAGCAGCAGCCCTGCTCAAGACTTCCTCCCTTTCAGGGCCAGGTCCGGAGTCCTTGCCTCACCGACGACAGCCCCCATCCCCACTAAGGCAATCCTGTCGTTCGATACTTCCTTGTGCTTTACCCTTCGCTGCGGTTCCACTGGCGGTCTCGCATCGGCGCAGCACGGCGCGGGCATGTGTTTTCGAGGCGAGATATGTTGAAATTCCTCGGATGAGATGTTTGCAAGACCTCATTGGGTGGGAGATCTGGGAATGGGAATAACGGAACCCGCTATAGAACAAGAGTCCCCCATTACGTGGATGGTTATCATGATGGTCGCATGCTGCGTGTGAAAACATCTCGCCAGCGACTCACCCGCAACCCACCCCGCGACCCACCCCGCGACCCACCCCGCGACCCACCCCGTGACCCACCCCGCGACCCACACCGCGACCCACCCCGTGACCCACCCGCGACCTACCCCGCGACCCCACCCGCGACCCACCCCGCGACCCACCCCGCGACCCACCCCGCGACCCACCCCGCGACCCACCCCGCGACCCACCCCGCGACCCACCCCCGACCCACCCCGCGACCCACCCGCGACCCACCCGCGACCCCCCGCGACCACACCCGCGACCCACCCCGCGACCCACGCGAACCCACCCGCGCCCATCCGCGACCTGGCCCGCAGCCCACCCGCGACCCACCCGCGACCCACCCCGCGTTCCACCCACATTGCTTTAACGAAGAAATCGGCGCCTGCGGCGCGGTCACTGCATAATGTGTAAAATTTAGGCGCTTGCGGCGGGCTTCTTCAGAGCCTCGCAGACTGACGACGTCCTCGCCGCTCCGTCACTCTTATCCGCAACTGCGGAGTGCTACGTATTTTCAAGAATAAGCAAATATCTTTCAAAAATAGTTAAGAGATAGTCTGGATATGATTTGTCAAGTCAGAGTGAGGGAGCCGAACGCTCATTCTTTGTTCCCGGGTGCGTGGATGAAGTGGGGATCCGCGGGGAGGGTTCTGCTTGTTGTTGTCGTCGTCGTCGTCGTCGTCGTCGTTGTCGCTTCCCCGACCCGCCCGCGACCCACCCGCGATCCA